GGATAATGCGAAAGGTCCGGCATCGGTTGCTGGGCCGCTAAAGCATCAGCATGATGACTCTAAAAGAAAACATATAGTTCGAAGAACAACTTCGAAAACTTACGAAAAAATCTTTACCGGAGTACTTTCCAAAGTAGAACGTGCGCTAGTGTCATCCGAATTTGTATACCCTTCATCCATGCTACCTTGTCGCTGCTGTGCTGTTACTACATTGGATGGTATAGAGGGTGGTTGCATGTAAGCTTCGTTCGAATAAGGATCCATCACCTAGAATGGGGACTCATAGACATTTGCTGGACTTAGAATCTTCGTTCCAGGCCAGACTGAGTGAAGTTGGCTTACGTATCGTTGCTGACTGGCATGACTAGCATTGCTTTGAGTGCGAGAACGAGAAGTGGGGCCTTCAATGTCTTCTACTGCGGTGTTAATCACAGATTCCGGTGGTGGGGCTACTGGGCTCATCTGCAGAGGATCTTGACGCTGCGCATGCCAGTCACGTGCTTCAGCAGCTAGGGATTCGGATCTTGACCTGAACAACTTTCTTGATTGAATCGAAAATCTCCAGAAGCAGATATATCGATTGTGGATGTGAGTCTGACCTTCTCGACGATGAAAGTTCAGGCTCAGGAGCAGTGACGGCATCGTCTGTTGTATTAAGATCAGCTTGTTGTGAACCAGTCTGAGTACTGTCATACTAAAAAGCAAAAATTAGCAAGTCTACACTATAAGAATCACACAAACATACCGTGGATTGCGCACTAGTTGCAGCTGGCTGCGGGGCAGCTGCTGGTTGTGTTTGGGCGGCTTCAGCAGGCTGATACTGCATCTTTTGTTGGATCATAGCACGCAAGCTAGCTATCCACGACGTTTCATAATCAGTTGCAGAAGCGGCAAATTTCAACCTGAAGAAATTTTCATGACTGAGTTGGGTAAAAAGATACGGTGTATAGATTACCTATCAGCCAGGTCGCACAGATCTGTTAATTCTTGAACAGTGAGCAAATGATAGTAGTTCCATATGGAACGAGCTATTTCCATACAGTATCTGCAAAAGTGGCATCAGTTTGATAGCAAACAACTAATTCTATATCTTTTCACCCACCTAAA